TCCTCTGTACGCGACAAATATGCATTAATATCCAAATAGTACACCGATACTTCCTGTACTTTGATCACTGCTTGCTGTATGAAGATTCTCAATGCATGTCAAGATGAAGTATAGTATGCCTCTTTGGGCCAGCAACTTGAGCTTATGGTTGTCTCAGCTGGTCTATGAGGTTGATGGAGTAATTTATTGGCTTAAGGTGCACCTTATCTGGGCTTCCTTGTCATTAAGAGAGGAAGTAAAGTATGCTTCGGCATAATAAACAAGATATTTAGAGAGCATTACTGATTTGCTAAGATCTTTGGGATGGTAACATAGTCATATCAATCAGCAATATCACAAATCTATGAAGTAGCATATACTGAGAAATATCTATATTCTCATCTTTTCAGTGGGACTAAAGCGCAAGTTCTGGTAAAATTTGTCCTTTTATCTGGTCATATACTTGTTATATGTTGGCTTTGCTAGTCAAAGCTATAACTATTTCTGTGACTAATAGGTTACGAAGGCTTCACATACTTTTGTTGTCTTCTTTTCCAGGACAAGTACAAAGTATACAATCTTTGTTCTGAAAGGCTATACGATGCATCATTATTTGAAGGAAAGGTGTGTTTCAGCTGGTTTCTTTTGTTTATAGGGTAAATGGGGTAAAAGAATGCGGATGAATCATAAATATGAATAAACTAAGATATGTTGGTATACTCAGTTAGTTATTTTGGGGTGAACTTTTCAGGTTGCAAGTTTCCCATTTGATGACCACAATTGTCCACCCATTCAGCTTATAACATCCTTCTGTAAAAGTGCCTATGGATGGTTGAAGGAGGATATCGAGAATGTAGTGGTTGTACACTGTAAGGCAGGGATGGCTAGAACGGGGCTAATGATTTCTAGCCTTCTCCTATATTTGAAGGTATGACTCCAAAAGTTGCCATGATGATGACATACAGCTAGTGTTATCTTTAGCATAGAATACACTGGTTCATATTTTTCGTTCATTTCTTGGACATTCTCTTCAGTTCTTCCCAACCGCTGAGGAGTCTATTGACTACTACAACCAGAAAAGATGTGTGGATGGAAAAGGGCTTATCTTGCCAAGTCAGATTGTGAGTTCCTTTCTGAATTAAGATTAGTGATACACTTTGGTCAATGTCCGCAACATCTTTCATTCTGTTTGATAATATCATTGTATTTTCTTTCCAGAGATATGTCAAGTACTTTGAACGTGTTTTGACATACTTCAATGGAGAAAACCAGCCTGGGCGAAGGTATGTTGCTGATCCTGGATACTGCTTTTGTAGTTTTCCAACAGATTCTAAAGATCAGCTTTTCTGCAGGTGCATGCTTAGGGGATTTCGTCTCCACAGGTGTCCTTATTGGATCAGACCGTCCATAACAGTCTCTGATCATAATGGTCTGTGCTGGCCCGTGTGCCATCTTTATTCCTGCATGACCAATTCGTGTTGTAAAGATGGAAAATGATATTGTAATACAAAATATCTGATCTTTGGAGTCTTTATATCTTGGGATGTTTTTTCTGTTAAAGATAACTAAATTTGATGTTTCACGCATAGTACTTCGTAAGTAAGCTGTGTGCAGCGAAATACATTTACTTTTGTCTTTTCCTCATGAACAGCACAATATCACATCATTGTTATTCTTGTTGGGACATAGTAAAATAATTTCATGATCAAATGTTTCTTTTGGCTATTGATATGTGGTTGACTTTGGAAGATGGCTTTTCTTGAAATGAAATTCTGTTTAAATCTACTGTTGAAATGAATGGAATTTTGCCCTTAAATGGCGTTATAATCTCTTCAACATTCTTGTACGTTGGCCTAATTGCTTAAGTATTTACTATTGTATCTCTCGCTCTCCAGATATTCTATTTACCACTAAGAAGCATCCAAGAACAAAGGATCTGTCGGTAGGTCATAATAATTTTTGGATTTAACTTTTCCTCCTGTTACTGGTTGTTTTACTGTTGCCGAAAAAAGTAGTAGTTATTAATATATGCTTGTTTTGTACAGCCTGAAGATTATTGGTTCAGTGCACCAAAGAAAGGAATTATGGTGTTTGCTTTGCCAGGCGAGCCTGGTCTGACAGAGTTGTCTGGGGATTTCAAGGTTCATTTCCATGATCGCCAAGGAGATTTCTACTGGTTACATTCCGTCTCCCTAGTGATATATGTTCTCCTTTGTGCTTTTCTATGTTTGGAGCTCTCTAATCAAACTTATTTTGTTCAGTTGGTTAAACACAACGTTTATGGAGAACAGAAAGATCCTCAACACCAACGATCTTGATGGGTTCGATAAGGTAATCAACTCTTTGTAGTTATCGTTAGAATTCCTGTTTCTTTCTTTAAAAAAAGTAAGAACTAGAGAGTGATGATCCAGCTTGCTCCATGCATTCTGCTGGCCTTATTTGCTCATCACTTTAAACAGGCGAAGAATCATCCATTTAGTGTTAACATGAGGTTGGTTGGCATGAACTTTGCAGAGGAAATTACCTTCTCCCGGGTTCCAGGTTGAGATTGTGCTGGTGGATTATGATGGTGTGCCTCCAACCCAACCCTCCGCTCAAAGTGGGACCAAGACTTCCAGCGCCGCCTCGGACACTGCTCCTGCATCAGTTGTTGGCGCTGTAGCTGCTTCTGATCCCCGTGAAAGCAAAGACCCAGGAAGCAATGATAAAGATGACGTGTTTTCAGACAGCGAAGCAGAGGAAGCCGGTTCTTCTAAGAGCAAGCGAAGTCAACCGGCATCTTCAACTGGCGAAACTGTCACATCTACTACCCCCGCTTCAGAGAATAAAAGTAATGCAGATCAAGTAGCTAATGTGACACGTGCAACCGAGCAGGTCTCTCTCGGAAACTCGGGTCCCACCCCGCCAAAAAGTGATGTCATCCCCAGCCCCGAGTTCTCCACTTCAGAGAGTGAGTTCAAGGCTATGGCGGCTGATGCTTCTGTGTTCACGTTTGGTGATGAGGAGGACTACGAGAGCGACTGACCAATGGTTTGGTCATGCTGGTAGTGAAACCTCTGTGCGGCTATGTACATAGATTGATGAACTTAAGCTGCAGAATCACTGTTTACAACTCAAGCGGTTGATATTCATTTCTGTTTGATATTGTGACATTAGTTCCTGTTTCTGTCTGGGTCATTGTGTTTCTGTAAATCCAAAAGAAATGTACAATTTCAGGTATTTTGCTCTGTTAGCTTGAATTCATCCATTTTATGTCGGGGGATTCACGTGAAAAGGGTAACGCGATAACTTTGTAATGTCATATGGTATACTTCTTATCGGGACGAAATTAAGGATATCTGGGCCAACAAGCATTCATTTTGCAGCAACAGATCGAAAGGTTGACATATTTTGACCATTTTGCAAAGTACCGAAAAGAGGGAATGAGTGCCACTTGCCCCTTCTTACTCGAATCAGCATAAGCCGGTGGCTAGTGATGCATGTTCTTTGAGAAGCCAACATGTCACATTTGAGGTTTTGCTCATCTTAAACACAATAAAGCCAACAAAATTCCTGGATGATACTTGCGTTAGGTCTAGATGTATACTCAATCTGACAAATGCTGTATTCAGAAGTTTACTGATCATGTCAAGGTGCGAGATTTGACAATAGAGGCCTGCAAAACTTACAATTTTCATTTCGAATCATCTCAAATGCAGTTCATTAGAGTCTTCAGGGCAATAATTAAGTCATATGGATCATCTACCTATAGAAAGAGCCAATGAAACTCTGCCTTACTTTCAGAAGTATCAGACTAGTACCCAAGAATAAGATCACACATCATTTGCAATCATACTATTTTAGTTTAAATTGGAAATTTTTGTCACATGTTTTTGATGTATATGAATACAACCACATAGAAAGTTCTGGTAGGGCACTAAGTTTTCAATTTGTTATACAAAATGAGTTACTTAAAAATGGGTTTTGGATTCGTTTCATTGACCAATAATCACTTCCCACCATATTTAGTGAACTCAATCTAGTACACTTTTCGAGTGCACGCAGCATTTCTCCTTAGATCTAATGACTTTAATATTCACTTTAGCAATGAGCACCTTAAGCAAATATGGAGGCTATAGAAATATGGCTAATTTTTTTTCTCTATCCCTAATTAGACGAAATTTCCTTAACCATGCTTCTGATTGGTGCGTCACAAGTTATGAATGCCAGCGGTACGTAAACTTAACTTAAATCAAAAGTGGGTAATGTCTACATTTGTGACCCGCCAATCAAAGACATGATTGGAGAAAATTTCCTCGGATCAAGAGTGGAGAAGAATATGATCCGTATAAAATACGATCCATATACTTTCGGCAAACCTTCTACTGGGTTGTCGAACTTTTTAATTTTGAAAGATGTAGGATGAAATTCGAGACCTTATGCTTCCTCGACAGACCACATGGCCCAAGCGCCTCAATCATCTTTCGACCCACCTGGGTTCAAGCCCGACCGACCGGTTCGCCACTACGTTTGTTCTTTGGCCTTCTCCATCCTGTCGAGCCCCCAAAGTTCTCTCTTTTGCAGTGAACATCGGCCACCCATTGACACATCGTGGCCTCCTCCCTCCGCAAACCCTTCCCCTCTTCAGAAAGGAGGTATTTTTCAGATGCCCATTTCTCTCCTTTCGCTTCTTTGTTATCTGCTTCACATCTCTTGCTAGTCGTTTGAATCTTTCCAGAGGCTAAGTTTATGAGCTCGCTTCTTCTTCTCTCGCGTTTCTGTACGAATTCGCACTGGCGTACTTACTTTGCTTGGGGTGTGGTTGTTTGTCCCGTCTGTTCCGATGAGTTCTTGAAGATTTTCTTTTTGCGCACGCCAAGTGGTTGACGTATTTTCTTCGCCTGTACTTCGGGGGAGCATCACTGCCACCATCTGGTTATTGAATTGGTTGTGTATTGTGGGAATTGAAGTTGGATATTTCTTCTCACTTTCCATGAAAATGTTTGGTTTTGGATGAGAAGTGGGTGACGCAGAAGGTAAAAGTTATCTGAAGTGTATTACTTCATCAGACTTGTATTTTTCGACATTACGTGATCTACGGAGTTTTAGCAGAAATGGGGTTCGCATGTCATCTGCTAACAACAGATGGAACCTGAACTTTGTAGCAGGAGGAAAGTACGCTGAGTTCTCTATTTAAATCTATTGTCTTAGAAGTAATTTTGATGTACTGCTCCTATGTTCGGGTGTGTCAAATGGTTAACTCGGGAGATATTAATTACAGAAGCCACTCTGTGATATGAATAAATAGCAGTTGAGAACCAATTAGAGCGGCATTCTGTTACTATGTCGTTTTGAAACTACTATAATGGAACAATCACCTCAAAACAGAAGAAAATCCATACTTTGTGTATTTAGAATCATGGCATTTTGATCACGCTGTTAATAACTTTGTAATCAAGCATGCAGAGGTTGAATTGCTTTTGGAAAGTGAATCGATATTCTTTTGAAGCTTACTTTTGGGCAATCGATGCCTTTTCATTTCTTTTATTTTCCCTGGTCTTGCGAATTTTCTTCTCTTGTCCCCCTTTTATCTTCAGTCATCCTCACCCATCGGTTCCGGTAGACGACATGATATACGAGTTTATTGCTAGCAGCAAAATTTAATCAACTGCTGACAATTGTATTTACGTTTGGAATAAGAAGGGCGAGTGTTAATCACTAGATTTGCTGAACTCATGTCAATCTCAATAAGGCTATAGTATTGTTTGGTTACATTACTACCTCATTATGCGCAGGGTTGGATGTCTATTGCAAAGGAAGATGTTCTGTTGGTTTGGTCATCTTTTGCTTGTCTCGTCACAGGAAGAGTGACTGGGTCTGAATTGAAGAAACTAGGGTAGAAAATTCAGTCTCTTAGATGTTTCGCTAGATTGAGAGTGGATTGGGCCTATGTGAAAAATGTAAAATCAAGTCATACGTACTAATATTCAATGCACGATTGGATATGTAAATATGGTGTCTAATGTCTATGTACACTAGTAGGAAATTCAGTGGACACATAAAAGATGTTTCATGTTATGATTCAGAGTGATGTAATGTCATTAAATGGTATTGTTTGTCTCTTGGTATGCCATATGGGCACATATGAGATGGCAATACATTGGACATGCCTTGCCATTTCTTTTGGGTGAGAATGATTTCTAGGTACTCTCATATTGGGAGCAGCTGCTCTAGTTTTACCAATCAAGTGCAAATTTGAGGAAGTACTGTGTTGGCACCAATAGAAGGCAATAGAATGTTTAAGTATGCTTCTGTCCTGCATCTATGAGCTTGGGGGAGGAAGCGAAATAGTTGAAATATATGCAGATAAGTACAAGCTTCCCAAAAGATGTCAGTTCTCAATGCTTTATGCAAAAAAGTGGTTGTGTCTTGGAAGTAAAGATATTTCAATCATGATGATGAAAGATGTTAAGAGTTCCTGGCCTCTGATTAATTTCATTTTAGTCAACCATTTAACTTCTTGGGAAATGCTTAGAAACGTCCAAGCTGTCCAATTTGTGCACCAATATTGGAGCAATCATATCACATCATTCGTATTCTGTTAGCCCTTTTAGAAGTGGATGACATGGACAGGAATTTTTAGCGATAAGCATGATTTCTTGGCCTGATGTCCTATTGTATCTTTCCTCTGCGAAGTTATACTATTTCATCGGTTGATTTAAGTTATTTGTTTGCCTCTTTTCTACCCTCTATCTATCTCTACTTAAAACTCATACAAGTTCCTCTTTTTCAGTTTGCTTTATTTCTAGAGGTTTTTACAATATGAAGTGTTATGCACTTTAAAACATGGTGGTACTATTCACAAAGGAAGTTAAAGATGTTCAATTTTTCTAGTAGTTGTTTAGATTATCTTTTTCTAGTAGTTGTTTAGATTCTGAGCCGATGGAGGAGTAACTATTCCACCATCTTTGTGTTGTTCTTATTTCTTGACTTTGAGGTTTTGTTATGTTAGATGTTAAAACTTTGTAAGTTTGTATTTCTCCTTTTTTCCAAACATCCGGTGAAGGCACGGCGTTTGACCGCGTTGCAATTGTAGGATTCTCAGGTAACAAAAACCGAAGATGGTGACAATCAGTGGGTTAAGTGGAATCCATCTAGGTCCTTTTTTCTATCTCTCTCTGGTGTACATGTCCATAACCTTTCATTCTCCTCTCTGGCTTAAATACTCACCTGTGCATTTGTAGGTGTTCATTCTCCTCTCTGGCCTAAATACTCACCTGTGCATTTGTAGGTGTGGTTCATCCCATCTGTAATAAATTTCCTCTTCGGAGTAAGAGCTATAAGCAAAAGAGAAGTAATGAATGCAAAGCCATTGGGCTTGCCTGTGGTAAAGTAATTATGCTTCCACCATTCTCTCTCTTTAATTTCCTATCAATGAAGTTGTAATTCCAAGTTTTGCAACAATTGGACCGCTTTGCAGATTTCAAGAACAAATGCTGGTTATTTGGATACCGGGCATTTCAGGAACAATCATGTGGTGTCTGCAGCAAGAAATAACCATGCGTTAAGCTATGATGATGACCTAAATCCTGAAACCTTTTGGTCTAGTCTGATCAAAGAAGTAGTGTGGTACTAACTTATTCTCGGAAATATATTCCCCTTCAGATTCTTCTGTTGCCATTCCCCGGGACAATGATGTTCCAAGTCGATGATGTTTTACGATTGTATCACATCTTAGATGTTTGCATGGCACGTAATGCTTGATCTTTTCATTCACAAATTTTATGATTTTCATTGTAGGTCTTTAAAGTCATTATTCACATTTTTGTGCGAGCAACCTAGCCAGCTGAAGTACATAGAATGGCCGAGCTTTCAGAGCACGGTAATTCCAAAATATGGTCATTCTTGTGGCCTAGGTAGATTCAGAATAGTTGTTTAGCATAATAAGCTACATTGCTAAATAAAAGCTGATTTTCATGGGGAACACTTCAACACCATATCTAAACAAGATTGCATCCTCGTGATTGTAGCATCACAGTTGAACTGAACTTTTACAGTTACAGATCATGCAATTCATGTTTTCTTGCTTTAATTTGACTACTCTTGAGCTGGCTAAGAGCTGAGTCTTTCCATGGATATGCTGCAGCTGAGAACAGCAACTCTCACGCTGATTCTTGTGGCATTGCTCATCGTCGCGCTATCATCAGTGGATTCGGCCCTTTACTGCATGTTGAACTGGTTTCTCAGGCGATCTTCATGACCAACAAGCTCATTTATTCCTACTTCTAGTCTATTCTTTGGAATGTCTAGGGAAATGGAAAAGACTTGTATACAACTTAAGAAATCATGAGTTGATGAGTAAGGCATTTTATTTCAATTTTTCTTTCGCTTTCATTTACCATTAAAATGGGCTTTATGACTTCCATTTGAAACGCCGGAAACTATATTCACCTGGTCGGTCATTCTTGGATTATGGCTGACGCAATGTCCATCTTCCCTCTTTTCTGTTAGGGGTGGGATGCGAATCTCTCGAGCGACTGAAGCATAAATTATGTTTATCGATCGAAATTGAAGTGCATTATCGATGCTAAGCCAGACAACGGAACCTTGGAAGCATGAGAGGATGGTTCTAAAATTCAATATCATCATCAAGACTGACTTATGGATGAGATGATGACCCAGTCATTTCTGGTCAGTCAAGCACGTGTGGATCACTTTCGAGTTTTCCCTCCGTTTACTTCCCTCTGTCAATTTGGTGTCCATTTCCCACACCTAACTCAAAGTGGTTAGAAGGGCTCTTGTCTAGAGAGGCAGTAACTGCTGCCATTTAGGTCCAGCTTATGACCAATTGGCCAGTGGGAAAATTCAAGCAAAGTGGAGCCAACTTCCCCCCAATAATCAAATGCATTTCTTCTTCTTCTTTCAACCTGATAAAATTGACAACTCTCTGTGAAGACAGCTTATCAGAACCCCAGAGACCAAGAACAAGAAGAAGAACAATAAGAGGATTGACCAAAAGGAAGTGCCACAGTGGTTGTGCTTCTTTTAGAATTTTATTTCTTGGGACAAGGACAAAACCCTAATTCTCTCTCTCTCTCTTCTATCTCACAAGTAAATATGAGATCTTGCACACGGTGGCCCATTATCTTTGCTTCTCTGCAAGAGGCTATTTTCATGGGTCCCGGCTTGGTGTGTGTGCCTCCTTTTCCCACTCTTTTGCCCTCCCAACACAAACAGTTCAACACCAACACACCGAAAGCACACGCGATTTTCCGAAAAACCCAAAAACATTTCTTTCTTCTGCAAACCAAAAAAAAAAAAAGAAACCCAAAATTTTTTATAATAATTGCAGAGAAAGAAAAGGACAAGCGTGGAGAAAAAGAGCAAGGCAAAACCCACTCCCCCCTCGCCCCTCTTAAAAATCAACCCCCCATCTCCTCCTTTTTGCCTCCGCTGCAACACCACAGAGAGAGAGAGAGAGAGAGAGAGAGAGAGAGAGATTGGCTTGGCTTGGCTTGGCTTAAAGGCTTTTTCTTTGTGCACGATGAGCTGAGTAGGACTCCAAAAGATCACTTCTTCTCCCCCCCAAAGAAGAAGATGGCAATAGCACAGCGACAAGGTCACGACCCATCGTCACCGCAAGAGCAAGAAGACCATCCTTCCTTCTTGTTCGATGATGCTCTCTACTGTGAAGAGGACAGATTCGACGAAGAAGACGACGACGAAGTTGACGGAATTCAAACGACCGCCGCTGAAAGCTCAGTGGATCGACAACAAGACCCGTCGTGGGAAGAAGACGAGGAGGAGGAGGAGGAGGAGGCCGAGCTGCTCTCGCTCTTGTCCAAGGAGCGCGGGGCCAGGCCGGACGTCGGGGAAGACGGGTTCGTCCTCGCGGCGGCGCGGCGCGAGGCCGTGGAGTGGATGCTGCGGGTGTGGGGCGTCTACGGGTTCTCGGCGCTCACGGCGGTGCTGGCCGTCGACTACCTCGACAGGTTCCTCTCCGGCTCCCGCCTGCAGCGGGACAACAAGCCGTGGATGACGCAGCTCGTGGCCGTCGCGTGCCTCTCCCTGTCCGCCAAAGTGGAGGAGACCCACGTCCCTCTCCTCCTAGATCTCCAAGTAAGACCCCCCAAAGAAAAAGGAAACTAAGAACACTCCATTGCACTCACTGAAACGAATCACAAAAAGACGTTTTCTGAGGTCAAATCTTTATCCTGTTTCGACCGATATTTACACGTCCTTCGACAGAAGACATTTTCGTTCATCTTGAGAACCGCGACGGTTGATGTGACAAACGCGTGCGTGCGTGGTGGCTGTCAGGTCGGGGACGCGAGGTACGTGTTCGAGGCGAAGACCGTGCAGCGGATGGAGCTCCTGGTGCTGTCCACGCTCGGGTGGGAGATGCACCCGGTGACCCCGCTGTCGTTCGTCCACCACATCGCCCGGAGGCTCGGCGCCGGGCGGGGCGCGCACCGGGAGTTCCTCCGCCGCTGCGAGCGGCTCCTCGTCGCCGCCGTCTCCGGTAAGTGCGGACGGGAGCAAAACACACACGGCTCTCATCTGTTCCTTCCCCCTCCCCATCCCTCCTTCCCCATCACGAAGCGGGGCTGACCATGTTCGTCTTCTTGGACTTCGGGGGAGCAGATTCGAGATCGCTGGGCTATCTCCCGTCTGTCCTGGCCGTGGCGGCGATGGCGCACGTCGTCGAGGAGGCGGAGCCGTTTCGTTCGCCGGAGCACAAGGCCCAGCTTTTGAGCGCCCTCCACATGAGCCAGGTCTACCTTCTCTCTCTCTTTCCTTCCTTCTTTCCTTCCTTCTTTTCTTCGTTCTCTCCATCTTCTTCGGTTATTTTTGCCACTTTTTTTCTTAGTGGGGGATTTTATCATTTGCCCTTTGACCGTCCAATACGCACAGAGAAAGAAAGGACACATGTTTCCACAGTGTATACAATCTTTGTTTTCTTCTGGGGTTGATTTGTAGTCCACTACTTTACCCTAAAATCTCTTCTTTTTTTGAAGATAAATTGATTTTTCATTTTATGCATCGACCAAAAAGTTTTTCTACGTACGATCCCTCGTATTGTTTATAAAAATAAATAAACAGATAATAATGCCATGTTCATAAATTTAGATGTAAATTAATATCGATAATGAAAATAATTTTCATTAGCTAATTAGTTCGAGTTATGTAAATTATCATTTTTAAAAAAATACTTTTTAAATTATTCATTTTTCGTTACACAAACCGGTCCTGAGTACAATGTCAGGAAACTGTTATGAAGATGTGAAGAAATTCGGTAGCATTTTACATGCACATGTGCGCATTTTTCTTTACTTGATTGTTTAACAAGAGCCGCGCGAATGATTGGTATGTATCAGTACATTAATATGTGCTCGCATACCTATGTATCATTTGACTCTTGACGTAATCGGGTCTTTGTGTTTTAAGCGATGACTGATGTTTGATGTTTGTACGAGGAAAATTCCTTAGTTAGCGAAAAATGTTTTGATTATCAATAATAATTTATGTTTAAATATTTGTGTATAATAAAAATATTTTTTGTTTATTTATTTCTAGAAGTGGTAAGGGAGATATTTTTAAAAAAATATTTTTGAAATTATTTATTTTTTCGCGAAACAAACGAACGTTTAGGTGAACCTAATCAAAATCTGGCGAATCTAGGACTAAAGTATAAAAATCATTAATGGACTTTAGAACCCTAATATTAATGTCTGTCTTGACAACATCTATCCTTGACTTTGTCTATACCATGCTCTTTATTTTGCTTATTATGCTTCGTTACCAGGAACAAGTAGAAGACTGTTGCAGATTCATTCTGGGAATATCAGAGACTGAAAGCAACGCCATGAACTCGTCCATCAACAACTCTCTGAAGCGCAAGCGTCACTGCGATCATCCAAGCCCGAGCGGCGTGATCGACGCATCGTTCAGCTGCGACGACGACTCGAATGACTCGTGGGCCATCGACCCGCCGTTCGACCACACGGATGACGGCAATCTCAATCCTCTACCGAAGAAGAGCAGATCGTCGCCGCCGCCGCCGCCACTGCCGCTGCCGGCGGTGCAAGGCAAGATGCTGGACTTGCCCTTCATGAACAGGAGGCTCTTTGAGGGCATCGTCAATGGCAGTCCTATTTAATACTCTCTCTCTCTCTCTCTCTCTCTAGAATTTGGATCACCTTTTGATTAAATCAAAGTGAAGAAATGTGAAGTGAAAGTTGAGGGCTTTGCGTCGAAGAAACGGGAGGGGTCTGCGCTTACGTCTGCATGTCTTTTTGGCGCACGCTCTCAGTCTCTTCAATGATCTCGAAGTGTCCCTTTCACTTCAGAATTTGCTTCATGTATGGACAGGGATATATTATGTCATCATTACAATAAAATACAATTATTTCGGAATATATTGTTTGTTTAGATCGTATTTAAATTCCTCAGTCAGTAATTTATTCAAATTTATTTTTCATTATTAGCGTTCATCAAGGATAGATTGTGTGAACGAAACCTACATGATTTTGAGATGATTTCTGTTTCTTAACATTTCATTCTACATTTTTTTCGAAATTAGGGTTTGACTTTCATCAGATGGGAAACATCTTATCGTGAATAGGGTTAATTAAAAAAAAAAACGCCAACTTTAGGTCGAGAGACAATTCTGGCCCGAACTTTTTTTTGTTCCATAAAAAAGCACCAACTTTAGGTCGAGGGATAATTCTGGCCCGAACTTTTTTTTTTCTCGTAAAAAAGTACCAACTTTTATTTAAATCCCAAATTTTGCTCCCCATCGACTTTCTATCTGAAGTTACCCTTGTTTGAGAAAAAAAAGTTATAGTGGTGAGCCTGGCGAATCTCTTCCATGACGTCTGTCGACGGACGGTGGTCTACAGCTTCATATTACGACAAAACGACGAAGTTTGGCCAGAAAGATTCAATCTAGAGATATTTTTTACTTGCCGGTGAAGTGAAGGAGACGAACAGTTTCACCGTTATTTTTCAAGCTGTAGTTCAGAGAATAAGATAATGAATAATGCTTTAAATCCAGTCAGCAAGTCACGTGGATTTATTGCTAAGGTGGAATAGTCAAGTTGGAAAATCAATGGTTTTAAGTCAATAAGGGCCAGATTTGGGATTTAAGTGAAAGTTGATGTTTTTTTACGAGACAAAAAAAAGTTCGGGCCAAAATTATCCCTCGACCTAAAGTTGGTGCTTTTTTACGAGACAAAAAAAAGTTCGGGCCATAATTATTCATCGACCTAAAGTTAATGTTTTTTTATGAAACAAAAAAAAATTCGGGCCAAAATTATCCCTCAACCTAAAATTAATGCTTTTTATTGGAATTAACCCGTCGTGAATATCTAAACTGAAAGTATGTGTACACTGATACTTCAAGTCAGTTCAAGTCATGTCAGAGATTATTTTGAATTAAATGGCCATGTCAAATTTTTGTTAACCTTTTGACATTACAACAGTAATTCTTTTTTTTTTTTTGTGGTTTTGAGGAGACACTGCTCAAAAAGCCCAATGGTATATATTCAATTTGAATTACAAATATAATCAAATCCCTTTTGCATATGGAATATTAATCATTAAATTTTATCGTACTATAGTTAAAAGAAATTCGCTTTTCGGAGTTGTTACAAACAAATTCGTGCATTTGACTTTCTCAATAAACCCATCATGAGAAATATCTAGCGTGTTCCAGTTTGAGAATTTATGTTGGAAAATCAAAACCTTGAATTCTAATTATACTCGAAAAAATATATAAATATATAAATACTTACTGTTCTCGATGATCTTGTAATCACCGAATGAAAACTTTCTATTTTATACCAGACTTTCAAGTTATCTCTACAAATTTGAATCATCATTTCACGTAAAGGAAATTTGTTTCAGAACTCACACTTGTATTAGGTTTTAATAATTTCAAAACTCTATTTTATACGGGACTGATAAGTTGTGATAAGATATGAACAAAAAGGTTAATACCCACAACCGTTATCCATTGAAAAGCTTATTGGAGTCAAATGTGACCTTGTCCCTGAATTTCCATGACAAGAGTGCATGAGAGAGAGAGTGAGTTAATGCATTATGCATGTGAAGTGAAGAAAAGAAAGGTGCTGTCGGCCAGTGCGGAAATGAGGGTTTAGATTACGGGTGGGAGACATTGGATACAGCTTTGACCTCGTTTAAAGCAAGTCTTCTTGCTTTTCCATTTCTTGTGTTTTTTTTTTTTTTTTCATTTGTGTTTTGGCGACTTTGGAACCTACCTCACTCAATACTAGAATTTTCGACTGTAGACACCAACGAAACACCATTTGCCCACTGCGCGTACCCATCACCCTAGCCCAACCAAGTGTGAATGAGGAAACCCTAGACCGGCGTGCACTTAAGCCTGTGGCCGCTCTTTGTAGACTAAATTGAACTTTTTTGAAATCGGGGATAGGCTGGATAGTCGGGCTCGTGACCTTCAGCTTGCTAATCAAGTTTTAGACCACTCGACAACCATATGATTGGTGATTTTTGTCAGATTTGCGATTGAGTTAAGATGACAAATCACATTTTAACGGTGCACTCATTTTACACTATGGATAATACGATGAACAAAATCTCTAACAACATCATAAATGTGTAAAATATCTTATTTGATTGAGCTTAAAATCCTCTCGAAATGCTTACGGTAATCTCTTTTTTCGCGAAAAATCAATAGTTTTATAATAAATTATCCAATTTTAATAGTTTATTGATTTAGGAAAATGGTTTAGAGAAAAGTGTTTTCATTATAAAAAAAAAATGCCAAGCATAGATTCTAAACCACGAAATAAAAATCTCTTAATTACGAATATATTTTTAAAATTACAAATTTTTCAAGAAACAAATAGAACCCGAATCTAAAAACGATTTTCAATATTTAAAAGAACTATTGACTATGAATGACTTAAACCGTGCATATTTATATACATTGAGAAGATTTCGTATTAAGTACAAAATAGACGTCTTTATGGTAAGGCCACCTTAAATACAAAAATTAAACCTTCAAAGAGTTGGTTGAGTGATTTAAGATTGGTTTGGATACAACAGATCCCGTATTCAAATAACAACATTCTTCATTTAATATAATCTTGGGAGCCACATGTGTCGCTCTGTGATGGTTCGCGTGCAACACGACTTGCTGCGATATTCGATTGCCCATCATGCATCCAGCATGCATGAAATAGACATCGCTTAAGAACTTAAGGTTGTTAAGTATCATTATTCGTCTAAATGGGGGGATTTTATTAACTTAATTCGACATCTATTATTCTCACATGCATGCACATTGAATTTCTATTTTGTTTGGATTACAAGAGATGCTACAACAAAATAAAACTAGAAAAAGAAGCTGCTGACTCTGTATGTTGAGAATAACATATGTACATAACATAGATGTTTGGCGCTTGCCCAAGAAGAAAAATGTATAGGTTAATGCCATTCATTGGAAAACCCTAGTGATTCATTAGTATGACATTTAAAGACTAAGAAACAACTTATGCAAATTATGTCAGACTATGATAAATCTTAGAATATCCAATCTAAAAATTTAAGTCACTAAAACTCCGTTGTCTTGCGGGAAATGAATGATGTAAAAAATATTTTCCTAAAATAATAGCTTATATCGTTTGCAAAAATGAACGAACAATAAATATTTCCATCGTTCGCAAAAATATGTAGACATCAATTGTTGTTGACAACGAATACATTTATTGTTGATATTTCAAGCGATACAAGCAATTTATTTTAAGGAATACATTTTTCAAATAATTCATTTTCTGTGAAACAAACAAAGTGTAGATAAATGCGTTGTTTAATATATAAACATTCCAACACTCACCCTCGTGCATAAGTTGGACTTTTTTTTTTTTTTTATGACCCAGGGAACCCCCGCACGGCCGACAACCGGGAGGTAAACCCTGGGGGCGACACGTGCTAGCCACCACACACGTGCACCGGTTAAGTCACCCTGCGGCACCCGGGATTCGAACACTCAACCTTTTGCGAGAGGAAGAGTGCGCACTCCAGCAACGCCACCCAGGCGGGTGGTTGCATAAGTTGGACTTTGATCTAAGCTATGTGTGAAAATGCATATAAAGAAGGCTGATAAGAGTTTGAAAAAGATTTGAACTCAGAACATACTTCTCTTAAATTCGTATTTAAAATATCCAATCCAAAAGTTTAAAATTTTAGTACGATCTTAAAAATTTTGAGCTTGACTTTCTAACATGAATATCAACTATAAATGTGAAACTTAAGGACTTTTTCTATTTGTTTTGTTACTCTCTTTTACTTATATATATTTGCAATTTGTAGTTATTCTCCCGAACTTGATCACACTCTATTGTTCGTACAACGCTTGACAGGAACCATCGGTGCATGCATGCCTAGCTAAGCGATGTCGAGTTGTCAATCGAGGTTCAGTTTTGCAGCGAAACATCCGTTTGTCCTTTCTTTTTTTGGTCTTTTCTTATTGGATTTGAGACCACAATCATGCAAAATTATTGGAAACGAACAACACTAGCTATTTTGCAATTATTAAATTGAAGAAAATTGTATTATAAGCCGAAAGAAGGAAAGGAAATGACCACGAGATCTTTTCTTTTTGTTTTTTTTCTCCAAATTTTTGCCAGAAACTACTCATAGATCTCATCATTCATCTTGCTTTAGCTGGATCCCATGATTAATAAATCGAGCATGACACCAAAAAATAACCAAAAAAAAATATTTTAAAAAAGGACCGATAATAATGGGCAACGAAACGCATTATGAACATGCACTTGCTCGTCTTTACATGTTGGTAATAATTCCATGCTTTTAACTCTTCATGGCGCGCACTTGCGCTTTGCCGTCCCACGTCATAATTTTGCATGCTTACCTATTTACTTCATCATTCCACCACACCAACAAATTGACTTTCGCATTGGTGGGAGACTTTAATTTTAAGTGCTTTATATTACTCAGAATAAAGTGCCCGTGAATGTGTGAGAAATTTTTAAAAAATAAAATAAAGAAAGGTTAAGCTTTGCAATATGTGTGTTGATAATTAGAGCAAGAGAAAGAATGACGACATAATGTTTATGGCAGTTTAATCCTAATTGGGGGTTGCGTAATATGCATTTGTGGGAGTGATTAATTACGGTCGAAGTACACATAGAAACATAAGCAAAAGAAAAAAACTGGAGATGCATCAAACATTGTTGAGATAGAAATAGGAGTAAAGTAAGTGTTGATTTGGTATAGAGATGTTGAAGGATTTGATGTGTTTTCCTTCTTCGATACCGTGTTGATTTTTAGGGTCGGAGAAACAATAACACCCAAGTGTTTATGATGGCTTAACCGCAATTAGGGTTGCATTAAGAAAGATCAATTAC